CTGGTCGTGGGGCAAAATTCTCTTCATCCTCCTCTTCATCGCGGGCTTCGTCGCCTCCACCTTCCTCCAAACGAACCAGGCCGGTCTGGAGGAATCCTACTCCGTCAACCCCGGCGTAGCGGTCTTCGTCCTCATCGCCATGTGCTCCATTCCCATCGACATCTACTTCATCTACGTCGTCAGCATATTCATCACCGTGCTCAAGTTGGTCGACCGGAAGTACACTCTGCTGTCCAAGCGGATCCACGACATTTCCGAACGTCCCCCCGTCAAGGAGGACGACGACGGAGAGGAGGCCTACACCACGGAAGTCGTCAAACGGCGGAAGAGTGAGAGGCCAAAGTCGTACAAACTCCACCCACCCGCCCCCCTCACGTCGTCCCTCTTCCGGAACGAGCTGGCCAATCCGGAGGACGATGATGACACCCCGAAACCAAGGAGTGTCAAGCCGGTCGGTGTCAAGGTGCGATCGCTCGGCGGACCGGCCCAATTTATGGCCCTGTTTGACCGGCAAGAACAAAAGAATGAGGCTCTGAATCGAAATTTGGGAAATAAGATGGCGGTGGAACAATCGTCGACACTTTTCGGAAGCGAGATAGCCCCCGGTGTCCCCCCATCGCAGATGAAGAAGCAGGAGAATGGCGCCAACAACTTTGTGATAGCGTCCCTTTTCAGGGAGGAAATTACCCCGACCAGTTTCCCACCCCCGGGGGAAAAACGTAAGAGCAAAAGTGCTAAGAAGAAGTCCAAGGACGACGGGAATGAGGTGGCAAAATCAGACCTTGGCGAAAATAGTAAACCGGAACTAGCACCATCGTCGAAACGTAACGACGACGATGTTGTTCCTGATCAAGCGAGGAAGAAAAGCTCCGAACCTCCAGAAAATAAAAAGCCGCCAAAACCCGAAATTTCGAAAATTGCCAGATCGTCCGCCGAACACGGTCGTGATAAAACTAAGCGGAAAGAAGAAAGTAACCGACGTCACTCCTCCTCCTCTTCGTCACCTTCTAATGACGACGACGATGACAAAGTGACGAAACGCTCCAAGAGGAAGTCGCAGAATCGCCGACATAGCGGAAAACATGGCAAAAAGAAGGACAAGAAGGACGACAAGAGTAAAATCAGAGTGAGGAAGAAGAAAAAGAGTGGTGGTGACGGCGGAAAAAGGTCAGATTCCTCCTCCCCCTCACCGGAGGTCAAGTCGTCACATAGGAGAAGAAAGAGCAAAAAATGATAGGATGAAAAAATATGTAGTAGATTTTTATCAAGTTTTTTTTATGATAAAAAACATGTCGTGGTGGCGGTCGGTACCTCTTTTTCCAATAATAATAAAGGATTCCGATCGTATTTTACCAACTTTTTCTAATGATTTAGAATCATGGGTTCCTCTTTTCTGTTTTTACCAATAAATAAAGAGAAAAAAGCCGAAAAAAGGTTTGACACTGAACTCTCCAACTTTTTCTTACTAAATAATCCAATTATTTGTGTATATCTTTTTAAGCGACGACATTATTGTGACTGAAAAACCTGTCTCGGTGTACTTATTTTCATTAAAATGCCCCCATTATTCGAGACAAATCTTGGAAAAGTTGACTGACATCGGGACATGCAAAGAATCCAGAAGTCGCCGTTCCCTTTGCCCTTGTCAGTCAAAAAGTTGACTTTTTAATGTTGATTCTTTATACCATTTGTGACAATAATGGTCCAGATTTAACTAACTTGGGTGGTTTATTAGTGTATAAGGTTTTAAGCAAAAAAGCCGAAAAATTGTACAAACATGAGAATATGACCTGCACCTGCAACTTTTTCGCGAAAAAAAGGAGTTTTTCTTTCAATTTGAGGTTTGGTTTAAACTTTGATTCTATTTTCCAAATTTTTACTAAAAATATCGGTGCATAATGACCTCCAAATTCCGATCAAGTGGCAAAATTTCATTAAAATTTTCACTACATATTGCATCCCCACAATTTTAAACGTTTCTCTCCACCCCAGAAATCTTTGAAAGAGATACTTTTTCGCCCCTTTACACTTGTAAAGTGTCAAACGACACGTCGGAAGAATGTGATCCTCAAAGTGAACCGTGTTGTGCTACAAAAATACTAAAAGTTTCTCCTACCACAACCCTTTTTTCCCGGTCCCCCGGGAAAAAAGGGTTGTGGTAGGAGATCTTGTTACGACTATCTGTTTCCTAGGAACTGGAAACCAACCGGACTCAGCACACTCGTTAGACGGAGACCCACTTCCTGCCCTCTTGAAGGCGGCCGTGTCCTGCCACGACGTCAACTCCTTCATAACATGTCGTGGGATTGAATCCATATCCTGATCAGGGATGGCAAATTTGGGAATTTTGCCAATGAGGGGTACGGTGAGATTTTGCCAATGAGGGGGAGGTGCTGCAGAGTTTCTTGATTCCTTCAAATTGCATCTTGAGGTTATCTGTAGGAAAATAATAAAGAAATACATGAATTAGTAATAATAATTTATGGTGAAAAGATGCATTCATCGAACAAATTAAATTGTGCACATTTTTAACTAGAGCCCTAAGGCAATAGTTTCATTTTAATTCAATGATATATGCAAAGTTTACCAATTATAAGAATTTAAAACTATCGAAATCTCAATCTTTCACCTACCACGGTAATTCTGATGAGCCCGCTTAAATTCGGGATCGACTACACCGGGATGGAAATTGGGCTTCATCCAGTCCGAGTAGTTCTGACTCGGGGTGGCGTCTCCTCGTCTTTTTGTCGTCTTCTGGGAAGATAGCTGCTCGGCTGGGGAATCTCGACAATTTTCCATTCTGCCACTACAATGATCAAGAATCAAAATAAATTGTAAAAATTTGTAATTTGACAGTACTCGTGATAGATTGTCAGCAACTTTTTTTCATAACTATCTCTCCATGGCATAGAGTCCATGCACTTATTTATTTATGTAATTTGATAATACATTGAGGGTATTCATAATTTGTCTTCTTATCCTTCGTATCGTAAAGTATTTACGAAGAAAAAAGAAGGGGTCAAGTTTCGTAAATATCGTAAGCGTAGTAACGCGATTTTCAATGACAAAATCTTACGACGTTTACTAAAATCTCGTATCCTTCGTAACTTATTTTGCGATACGAAGAATACTAAGGATACGAAGGTATCATGAATACCCTCATTGTTAAATAAGAATTGTAATTACCTCATATTAACTCCGATATTTCAAGAGATGTCAAATAATGATAGACTCAGCCTCAATTTTTACAAGTTCAGCGAAAACACGTGAAAGTAATTAGTTGGGAAAATTATAATTTCACAAATTTATCACTTGTGGAGTTTTTTACTAACATTTAACTGCAACTTAAATGTGTTATTTCTTGGGCTTAACTTAGCAGGCTTCTTTCCTCGGGAACAATTAAGGTTCTACTGTCAGACTAGCCTGAGTTGAGTGATATACCGACAAAAAGCCAACGGACTCCTCAATCCAAAGGCGTTGTGCACTTTCTTGGAAAAAGTTTCTCTTTTCAGAAATATCAGAGGGGCATTCACAGATTGCATGTATTTTCCACCGTATATCGAAAGCTAAATATTTATTGCTTAAATATTAACCACTAACTACCGTGTTCAGGCTGTACGCTGTAAAATGTATGATCAACCTGTGAAGTGGTTTATCGTCCAAGCGACGTCATATTTCATGCACACTCCTTTGCATATATACAATTGTCTTTACTTTTGCCTAAGCTTTGGGATTCTTGGAAATTATAACCACTCTAACTTCTAGAGCATTTTATTACCATATCCTTTGCTGTATTTATGTATACAATTTTTTATGCTTGACACATTACTACAAGTTCAAATTGAGCTACTAAATTATGAAAAGGAAAGAATAGAAAGATTATTATTGTCCTGTATGTTGAAGCTCAAAAATTTCTTGTATACAAATTTACACAACCATAAGGGTTGGATGAATTGCGTTATATGGAAAAATGTGTAGATAATTTTTTGGCAGAAACAAAATTACAATTTAGAGTTCCCTGGAAATATTAATCACGGAATTTAATCATTTAGTTTTCTTGACATAGCGCAATTAGTAAACCTTCTTGAGATTCTACTCAACAAACCCGTACCGATATTGATGTGCTCATATTTTTATTAAATACGTATTACTTTTGATGAATTTGAAAACGCTTGATTAGATATGCCAAAATACAACCATAGTTCCCAATTATTTAGGTTACAACCCCTCATCAGGTTTTTGAATAACCAACTAATCGAGATATGTTGTCAACAAACTTGAGGTAGGATTACAAAATTTACTTTATGTATGTTAATCTATATTTAAGTGATCAATCAACCCACCATGAGAGCATTGGATATCTGTGGTTGTGCAACTTGCACAGTGCAAGTGTTTATTTTGTCTGTGTAAAATTTTAACTGTAAATTCGTTATAGTGGGTCGTGGTTAGTATGATTTGTGTTGATATTATCATGCGATCAATCAAAGTTGGACTCATTCACAATCTGAATAAGTGCGTTGGATACGATCAAACGTTCGAAGATGTTTTATGCATTTTAACTTCAAATTTTTAAGCGTTAGTAAGTACTTCCAGCCTGGAAACAAGAAACGAGAGGAATTCGTCTTTTAAAAATAAAACAAAGCCAGCAAAATGAATAATATGAGATATTTATTTTATTACCTCTGTTTTATTTGCATTTTTCATACATCCAACTTTTTATCTTAACATGTTATTAAATTTTCGGTAACAAAAATTGCTATCTTTTAGAAGTTTCAATAATGTAAAAATATCTTCAAGGTTAAATAAAATCAGACAAAAACGCTACTTTTCTCAATAGTTGGAGAACTGTAAAATTGAAGTCCAGAATTCAACAACCATGGTTGACAGCTGCATACTTATTTGCGTAATTATTACCAGATCCTTCAATGTAGGTCAACTCAGATTACAATGCACCGAACTGATTTTTGATCATCATTGAGTATCAGTCCGTTGCTTATCATGTCACCATAACCACGTTCTCCAGAAATTAGCCCAAATTATTAATCGCTTTGAAATGTTTCACAAAATTTGTGTTTCCGTCACCTCGTTATTTATAAATTTCGCTGTGACCTCATTTTCCACAAATTTGACACCCCGTGAAAACGGCTTCCTCCCGCCATACGTGAATAGATACTGTACTAGTTACTTTTCCTCCGACTTTGTCCATTACGGCTGCTGTGACAAAAAGTTTCCGGAATCACATTGCTTTTTGAACGATTGGGGGACGCGAGATGCAGTTTGCGAGACACAAAATTTGCAGGCTAATCGGTTCAATTTTACTTGTTCGAACTCCATCCTCGATCATAACTGCACTGTTCCGAAGGGGACGTTTTTCTGCTGTTCAAAGTAAGTATGTACGTAATTAGGATTCAACATATACTAATCGGTAATGATACAATTTTTACTGGAAGTACAATGCAAATGAGCAGTAACAATTCAAGTAGTTTTTACCTAAGGGTAAGAAATTTTTACAAGTATCGGTAAAATTATGCTAGTCACTAGATAATTTCTGTGCAGAATTTAGCCTAACGTTTTCCAGGGTTCGCCACGGCAAAACGGCAATCCGGCAAATGCGGTGCCGTAAACTGCCGTAAACTGCCGGATTGCCGAGCTAAAAATCATGCCGTTTTGCCGTTTTGCCGAATTGAAATTTTGAAGGTACAAAAAAAGACGTAAAAAATTAAGTATTCAGTATTATTCTTCACTGAATTACGAATATTTATTCGATGTAATCCTTGAACTATGGTGAATGCAGGTCCAGTAATCCAGTAGTCCAGAAATTGTACATCTTTGTCATTTTCCATATGATAAGCACTATAATTCCTTCATGTTACTTGTGTAACTTCAAAAAATTACATTTTAACAGATAACTCTACTTCTAAATAATTATCCTATCTTAATTATGAAATCATAAATACGTTTGTATTTAATTAGTGTAATTAACTTGATATCTATTGTCTATCTATCCGCACGCAAAACGGCATACTATACTGCAATTAGGCATTGAATACGGCAATCTGGCAAAACGGCACGCAAAACGGCAATTCGGCATTACAAAAAGGCAATCCGGCAAAACGGCAAAAATTTTTGAGCAAAAAGATGCCGAATTGCGTACCCTGACGTTTTCTATAGTAATCCGTACCAGTATCTATTTTCCGTACAATCCGTACGCAGTCTCGTAACTATACTAGGCTGGTACAAGCCTCGGTTATAATCTTAAAAACATTTGCAAAGCTACGATCATTTAAATTGATATGTTGTGATGGCCATAAAATCTTTTGTAGGGATGCTCCGCTTAGACCGGATAATCGACCCATCCGCCCAGTACCTGGTGAATAACGAAATTAATCAAATTAGATACGTGACTTGTCATACGTCCCAATTACTGACGCAAGCATAACTCAACCGTGTTTTCAGACTCCAGGGTATGTGGAACAATGACCACGGACAGGTTCCAGCAGTTCGGACCGGGGAATTTGACCGTGCTAGACGTCGCTGAACACCACGAATGGGGCGAGTCACACTTTATAGGGATTTCTGCTGTCTTAAAAGCTGGCACGAATTATGTCAACGTCACCAGTGCCAACTGCATCGTGTCAATCTGTTACACAGACTCAGAATGGGATGCAAACTGCCTCCACTTTCACTATGGAAGTAGTATGTACAATGGGATATTTTCAGACAATGTATGGAAACAAGTCGTTGAGAATCTGCATAATTAACATAATTACCTAAGTTTATTTCTAGGAATTCGGCCGTGTGACAACATCAATAAGCTGCGGATGTTTGGTAAGTCTCGAATAAGCACGAAAACAATTTTCTCTACGTTATGTATTTAAGTATCGTGACAATTTCCAAGGGATCAGGTTTTTAGGAATTTTTAAGGTGTTGGTCCTTGTCAACAGTTTTATCGGTACCAAGCCAAGCACACTGTTAACGATCTTCGTGACCCGGTTAAATGTTTGTTAATTGGGTAGCAATTCCATGGCTGAAGGCAAATACAATATTTTTTAGGCAAACCCATCCGCCAGTGAGGAATGCACTTTTGGAGACGCTGATTCCGACAACGGGACTGACTTGATAACATCCTCCTGTTCAAATCGCCCCATGGATGCCGACACGTGCGCCCTGCTCTATCAAGAGTGGGGTTGTGAATCATGCTTCTATCAAGAGATTCGACTAACGACAAGTAATTTTACGTTCAAACCCACGAATTATGCGGTAATACGTTCGCTCAGAGTGAATAGTGGCTGCAGCATTAGGGCATCTTCCATCATGGGTTTCCAAGATTTCAATGCAACTTCGAGCATAATTCCGGAGGTAATTTCAAAATAATTAAATATGCTGCATACTTGCAATAATTTGCGTCCTCCTTGAAAAGTTCTTCAAGACAATCCATCCCACAAATGGTCCGCACGCAGCCCAGTTTAATTCTTTCGATTGCACCTGTGGACCTAAAACTGTGACAGATGAGGTTGGTATGTCAGGTAGGTTGAGTAAAATTACATATGTAAGCAGATGGAAGGTTGAATAATGTTTGATACGATTTAGCCGGGACTATTGCTGGTATTGCGGTTCTATCTGTGATAGCTGTGTCAATCGTGGCATTTGTTTTACTGAGAAGGAGAAACCAAAAAGTTAAATTTACCAAGAAAGAGACAGACGCACTTAAGGTGGAGCTATTTGGGGACGGTGTCGAACCAGATGTCGAAGGATCACAGGACACAAACACAGATTTGACAAATACCAAAGTTGAAGTGGATTATTCCCTCAAGAAACAAAATATTGCTGGTAGCTTTCGAAATTCGAAATTCGAATTTTTGATAATTCAATACATATTTCGCATGGTGCTGAAATCCTTAATTTTTTGCAGTATACAAAAACCAATTTTTGGGGAAGGGAAACTACAGCGTGGTTTACAAAGGCGTTTTAACCTCTGGAAGTGACAGTGCCGTTGTTGATTGCGCAATTAAAACCGTAGACGAAAAAACGGCGAGAATCGACGATTTGAAGCTTCTCATGAACGAGATAAGGATTATGTCCGTGATTGGAAGACATGCCAATATTGTCTCTTTTCTCGGATATTACTGCAACTTCCACCCATCTAAATGTAATTTTGATTGATATCGGACTAGTTTATACATAAATCTAAGTATTTGTTCAATAATATAAGGGGAATTTCTGTGCCTGACGGAATTATGTCTCGGAAACCTGCATGAGCGCTTACGTCTAGCTAAAAATTCCATTGTACACAAATCATCTTCCTCGGTAGCAGCACAATTGCAGAAGGCAGGATACGTTTATTACGAGGATAGTACCGATCTTGAAAAATCTAACGATAAGTAAGTTGCTCCAAGTTATACTTCGGTAATAAATATTTAACTGTTGTAACATCCTCTAGTTACGGGTTGTTATCAGCCTTGGTAACTGTATGGATAGAAGCAAAATTAGAATGAAATTGAAATACTTAACATTTCAATTATATTCTCCAGCGTCCCTGATAACGGTGATACCAACAAAACTGTCACCACACAAGACATGCGGCGGTGGTGTGGCGAGATTGCGGATGGGATGGATTATCTAATTTCTAAAAATGTAAGGCTTACTTGAATATGTGCAAGTTTTGAGTACTAATTTCCACAATATTGTCTTACCAGCTTCTTCACATTGACCTGGCAACAAGGAACATTTTACTATCTACAGAACAAACGGCAAAAATTAGCGATTTCGGATTATCCAAGAAGCTGTACGAATCCCTGTACTATAAAAAAGTGCAAGGCGGAAACGTACGGAATTTAAAAATGTTCAATTTTGCTATTATGGACAGGACATAATGCTTTAAGTCATTTCTTACAGATGTGGCTTCCAATGAAATGGAGTGCCTTCGAGTCCTTGATGAGCTTAAAGTTCTCCTCCCAATCAGAAATTTGGTCATATGCGGTTACCGTTTGGGAAATATTCAGCTTTGGCGACGAGCCGTACCCAGAAGTTTGCGACATGGTTGACTTAATCCGACTCTTGAATAGCGGAGATCGACTGGACTGTCCAAAGCGGTGTGATCAAGAAACGTGAGGGCGGTATCCTATTGAATTTTTTAATACTAATTTATTGATAATCATGATGTAATTTTTTGCAGATACGAGCTAATGAAGCGATGTTGGGAAATTGACGAAAATCAGCGGCCCAGTTTTGTCGAGATGAGTATATTCTTCAAGTCTGCAAACGAATAGAATTTATTAAATCATGAAAAGTCTTTTTAAATTTAAAATTAAGCGTAGCAACATCTCTTGTGGTTGTAGAATATTGCTGACAACTTTGTTATCTGTAGTCAATTGTCTAATTAAATTTTAATTTTACTTAGAATATTTATAAGATTTAAAAATTTGTCGTTTTTATCCAGTATTTCTTTTTGGATGTACAAAACGGTTTGGGGGTGGTTAAGATCGCTTTTGTCCGAACATAATGATGATTGTGTGGTCAAAAGTGGCATTTTGACCGCTTATAACCGGTGGATAATTTGGTTTTAACCAGTCAAAACACTATTTTTATCCAGTACTGTGTAATACTCCATGTGTATAAATATCTGCATACATAAGAGAGCATGAATGAGTCGTCGTTTTTTGCGACGACTTATGAAAGTGTAAAAATAAACCCAACTTTGTCTAAGAAGACAGTTTGTGTTATGTACAAAGATTGCATATCTGAATACGGACGAGTTTAAAATCTACATTCGTCTATGAATATATTTAGAATCATCTGTGACTTTTGTCCTAAGTCGATTTCAAAATATTGGGTAACAACAGACGTAAGTAAATAAATTGTAACGTATGAATCAGTAAAATTATTACCATAAAAACAAAACCAGTAAGACAATTTTACATAAAATATTTAACTGTGGATTTGATATTGGTATAAATTACAAGTAATTCTAAACATATTTTGACACAGAGTATAGAAAGAGTGAAAATGGAGGAAATTCACAATTTGCGATATGCAGTGACACGTCTCCTGGAAGAAGTGGAGGCGTTGCAAATGAAGGCAGCAAATGTGCAAAAACTCTGCACTTTCTCCCTGCGTGGGAAACGTCTCATTTTGTATACTATTGCCATTCTGGTAAGTTGTGAAATCTGGAAATATTTTATGATTATAGTAGAACTATCACCGGTACAATTACTGACATTTGCTATTGCTTTTTCGTATGTTGGTACCAAATTCTTGGTTTTATAGTATTTTCTGGTCTTCTTGCTCGCGGGGATAGCTTGGAAATGGTATAACAATGGTTGTAAGTGTGCTGAATGATAAAATTGGCCCATTAGTATTTAGAGAAATTCTATGTTAAACAGCACATCTGTTACCTCTTAGGTTTTTTCTGATAAATGTAAGCTTAAAATTTTTTTCATTCATTAGTTCTGGACAAAATTGTCAAAATTATGCAATTGGGGGAAATAAAGCTGAAATAAATTATGAAGCAAATACATATTTATATTTATTTATTCCGCAATAAAGTGGCGTAATTATTTCCATCATCATGGTTTTGAACCATTTCTTCAAGTCTGACAGTGAAGCATGTCCATGTGTTTATTCTCCACTCTAGGTAACCCGATAATAGACGAAGTTATATTTATATACTCACGGGCCAGGTAATAGACAAACTTGTTACCGCATAATAAAAATGTGGCCAAAATACATAGTACCAATTTTTACCACTTGCAAGTTACTTTATACCAGCCCGTAACATTTTTATTACCATGAGGTAATAAATTTGTATACATATTACCAGGCCGGTGACTACATACATATTACTTCATCTATTACCAGCTTAGTTGAAGTGTCTTTATTCGAGCAGAGGATGTAATTTTAAGACTCAAAGCAATTTTAAGAATGAGGGTCGTTCGCTCCAAAACTTACTTGGCTTCCAAGAAACACAGTGTATTCACGGGAACTCCAGAAGAATTTATGTTTGTTAACGCCCTCACTGTGAAAGTAGAATCCAGATTGGCTAAGAAAATCCCTCCAAAAGTCGAAGGCGTTTCCTTCCAGCCAATGAACGCATATGTGGATCCTGGGTCTGTCTAAGTGGTTCTAGGAATTTATATTTCATTATTGGCCTAATCTTTTTAACAAGCTTACATATGTACATGAGGGCCATGACGTGTTAAATAGAACAAATACATTTCCGTATTTTCCTATTCTGGTGCTAGATTGGTTATTCTATTTAAAAGCTATCTACCCTTACTCAAGGCACAATTTCGTAGAACTCTCCCCAACTTTTCAGACTTTATAATCCTTTTTCAGAGCCCACACCCACCGTTGGATTATATTCTCTGAAAAGTTGACAATTTCTGCAGTCAACTCCTTGAAGTGCATCACATCAGTCGCGACCTTGAAGTGTAGTTTAAGTTTTTAATCAAAATGTCTCAAGTGACCCCCAGCAAGTCAAAAGTGCCACTCCCCTCGTACACTAACGACCAGATCCGACGCTCCTTTCCGATTTCCATCCCGTTCGACAAGACGGCCCGAGATACTACGCGCCAATGCCAAGCCATGTTGGCCCGCAGGGGGTTCGTCGTCAATCAGCCGCCCCCACCATCCCCAGAGGAAGAGGAACGCGCCTACTACGAGTGGATTGAACTTCAAAAACTTGATGAAAATGGGGCCGAAGTGGGTGCGGCTGAAAATGAGGATGAGCCTACTGCGGGGAACTCAGTCCAAGACGTGGGACATCATTTGCACGACGGGGACGAATTGCGTCTCAACTTGGGGGGCAAGTTGAGACTGTTGTGGAAAAAGTTGGGACCCATTGCGGAGGAGGCGGACGGAATTATCGTCGCTGCGAGGAAAGAAGCCAGCCTGGATAATGGCGAAGATGCCGTCGTTTGGTTAAATGGGGAGGTAATTGGTCAAATGAAAGATTATGTGTTTGATAATTACATAGGTGTAGGTTTTTGATATGGATTGTATTTTTTTATTGCTGTAGGAAAAATCTGCAGAACAGGAGGAAATTTAGGATCCTGGCCGACACGGGATTTGCATACGATACTTTACGATTTGGATTGATTTTATAATTATAAATATTTTTCCTTATTTCTTTTCATTGTACTTACCCAAGCTTCCAGACCATATAAAACTGCCGTAGGAAGAAAATTGACTAACGGCATTGCAATTATACAGCCGAATCACTTTATTTGAGTAGCGAGTGTATCAAAGAAATCTCACTTTCGTCATTCTGTTGAAATTCTGGAACAATTTTTCATACTCCAAATCAATTCGTAATAATTTTATGAATATTTCACTTTTTGTCCAATCTGGAACATTCTTAATTCTTAACATGCCATATTTTTGGTCAAATAATCTCAGTGTTTTCTGTCTACTTTTATATACTCAGAGAAATAAAAGTTATAAATTTATAGCCTATAAATGCCACTGTTTCGTAATTTCCGTTATTGCAAACCCATCTATTGATATTTATAATAATTTTAACTCCCTATCTAGTAATTTATTGAATAAGTCGTAATTTTATTATTTTCATGATAATTTACTACAAAGGAATTTATTAGAATATAAACTATAAACCCCTATAAACAAATATAGTGTCGTATTCAAGAATTCTTCTGTAGGCTCGTACGCTTGACAATCTGAAATTTAAAACTGAAAATTACGTATTAATTATGAGTACTTGAAGAGGCTAAATCCTTTACTTAAATATAAATCTTGGCAGCCGGTTATAAATAGTACAGAAGTTGTATAAATGTTGACTTACATATGCCTGGCCAAATATTATTATTTCTTAGTGAAGATGTATCTATTAAATTCTATTTCAACGACACGTAAATCAAATTGTTAAATTTGTAAACACAGCCTTAACTTGCTTTGGAATAATTTATTCAGTAATTCGTAATTTTACTGATCTCAGCATTATGACAATGAATTCAACATCCAGTAACAAAATTGATGACGTTGCTGCAGCACGAGTATGCTACCGAGTTAAGGAACTGTTGCGAAAGGTTGGTGCATTTGACCAGCCTTTGGCCGGTTGGACACTCATAATCATTTGAGCAAGCGCATGTATGGTCGAGCTAGTAACAAATATTTATAAAGATATGTAAATTATCCATTAATTTATTTCAAAGTAAAATCTACCGAATTGATGAGACCAACGCAATTTTTACAAGAGCAGTAATGCGTTCCGTCAGTGAATGCTGGGCAGGCCGAGTCGCTCGTACCATTTCCGCCAAGTCCAATGGCACACATAGTGATTGGAGATCCCAAGCAGCCAGCACCGATCGTACAGGATGAAAAATTTGAGTCGCAGGCGGTTGGATTTACGCAAAGTTGGGCCAGTGCCAAACCCACAACGCCACCCTGTAAATTTTTGCCAAGTAATTTGTTCATGATGTAATTTTTTGGCAAAATAAGAACTTACCAAAATGACCAAAACTACGCATGAAGTATTCATTGTTCGTGGTTGTCTCACAAATTGATTTAGAGTGTGAAATGAGTGCGATCAATTTCGTTTAAATAGGGGATCTATGCGTCACAATAGAGTTATTAAATCATTTAATTTAATTATTCTTATATTCTTATGCATAAGTACCTTATGATAAGTTAGGCGTTACGGCGGTACCCTGTAATTAAGCGGATTAATTTATTTATAAATCCAGAGCGGCATAGTGTAATTATTTGTGCCCTTGATTATTCCCCTCAGATTACGAGGGGTGGCATCAGCTTGCATAATCACCTCTCGTGATTCTCCAATGGACAGCATACAGGGTTAATGTTCTGGCTAGGTTGATGTTAAAAGTTCGGACACATTTAGTTGGTCATAGTGAAATAATTACATACCATACAGAGGGATAACTTGTATATAGTGCATTCGCAAAGCTGTAGAAATTTAGGGCTGACTACAAAAGAGTCGAATATTTTAAAATTCCTAACCAAAATAAAATCGAATATCTACTACTTATACGTAAGTATATACGATACATGCTACACGAGATCGTTTTATTAGGCTCTGCAATTTACATACATAAGGGTAATTATATAGGTACTCAATTCAATAAGCAATTAATACAAGTGCAAAATAATCACGTTTACCAGTCAGATTTTAACAACTTTGTTTTGCAAATTTTACGACTCACACGAGTCTGCAATATAATAATTAATTATATACTTATTTATATTGCGCTCATTGGATGATGCTGTATAATGTGAACATTATGCATACCTTACATCATGTGTAGATTTTAGAATAAAGATATTATCTGAGTAAAATAAAGAATCTTTGACATACAAATGTATTTTGTGTCTGTAAATAATTTAATTTATGCCTTAAACATGCTTAACGACTTGCACATGTAAAGAAAACCGTTAATATTTATTGAGCTTATCCTCCTAATTTATTCTTGTAGCACGTGTGATCGCAATTTACCCCACAATTACTTAAGTAATTATGACAGAGCACCAATTAAATTTTTAACATCGTCTTTTTTATGCACACAAATTTATTGAGCCAACTACAATTCCACTAATTTCACCAATATTTACAACAATTCAACTACTTTGCCAACTAACATCCTTGAACATTATTGACCGCGTTGCCGCAACAAGAATATTGTGGCGTTCCGTATTGGATATTGAATATAGGGATGACCTTAGCACATCGGATCAACTTCTTTCCGCCAGGACATACGTAGTCGGTTGAGCAGACACAGTTGTACAAGAGCTGAAAAGACATCAAAAAAATACTAATCCATTCATTATGAGGTAACAAATTTTGTTCAATATTGTGTCACTCGAATTTTTACCGAATTAATAAGACCGACACAGTTCTGGCAAGCGCAATAATGATTTCCATCCGGGAATGCAGGACATGCTGAGTCCGACGTGCCGTTTCCACCTTGTAACAGAGCACACATCGTAATTGGCGACCCCAAGCAGCCAAATCCGATAGTGCACGACGCCAAATTAGTGTCACAAGGGGATGGCGCGATGCAAAGTTGGGCCACTGCTAGGCTGAAGGCGCCACACTGCCAATTTTTGCAAAAAAAAATTATATTCTGCCAATGTAAGCTGGAGCTTCAAAATGTTTTTGTTCAGGAAGGTGGCACTTACGACTATGGTCAAAATGACCAATTCGCCCCTAAATGTGTTCATATTGATGAGCTATATTGTCTTTCTTTTCTAGCGGTGGTTGAATTACTTCTGCGCAAAATGCAGTGGAATGGTCCCGTTTAAATATGGGATTTTCAGATTATCCCGTGCGTCATGATGGGTTATTAAATTATGATTGTTGTATTCACTAATTCCTCAGATTTATTTTTACATAAATTCCGACCGGCATAATTTATACAATTATAGGCTTCACCACTTGTTTCGTCACCTTTTACAGCGATCGTTGTCGAATAAACTTGAATTCCTTGTAGTGTATGAATTGGCGACGTGGTGGTACTGGGGATTGCATTGGGCGTACGGTTTTGAGGCGTGTCTCTCGAATTATCTAATTGATTTGAAATGCTAGAGCCCACGACAATGGGTTGCAATTTTTTGTAAGTGCATAATCGCCTTAAGATACTTGTAGAATATCAAACAATTATGCATATCCATGCCACAAGCATAATTAGCATAAATGTGAAGTGATCTTTACATACATAATTATTTACAACACTTGCAGGTTAATCAACTATGTTTTAACCAAAGTTTTACAACCAAAGTTTTACGATTCACACGGGTTTGTCATAAAAAATTTGTAAGCTGATAATTCGGACACACCGTGAATTAGGCAATGGTACTGGCAGTTACACAACGCGAGAATGGCCAGATAAATAAATATGTTAACGATATCTGTAAACATGGAAAACTGAAAATAGTGCAACCATGTCATTCCCATACTTTATAATTTTTTAATTGGAAGCATCCTTTAGAAGCATTTGGAGGATAAGGGTAAGGGAAAAAATGTAAACTTCAGAAAATCAGTAAATCAATGGTTGCTAGATAAAAGGTCTTGTAATTAGGTTAGCCAATTCTATTTTATTTAGTTAACTAACAATATAACTTATTTAGTTTAATAACAATATAACATATTCAGTTGAATGACGATATAACTTATTTAGTTATATAGCATGATAATTTATTTAGTTAAATAACAGTATGACTTATATCTAAACTTGCTGTACAAACTTACTGTATATGCATCCTACGTTTTTGAGCTTAGTTTGAAGTTAAATATTTTATTTTTTTAAGTTATAGCTTATTGCAATTAATCTTAATATTAAGGTGTTCAGTCGTGTTACCCTAGGGAGACCAGTCTAATTTTGTACTGATAGGTTGAATAATACGTGAAATAAAGGCCAACAAACAAACAAACAGCATGCATGCGCAAATGTAAATTGTATTCTGTGTTTTATCTCCAATATTTTCAATAAAATCTGAAGTCAATCGGCCAAGGAACTAAGACATATTGCAGATAGGCAGGAGGATTTAAATAGTCCCATGCTAAGCATAGTGAGATAATAGTTTACCAATTAGGCGAAGAATAGAAAATTTATGCAGAAAGAAATAATTTTGATATTTGTTTATTTAAACCCCTTGATTTCTAACATCCCTTCAGACCGGTTAGATCTTCAGATTCTAAAATTAGCTGAGCACAAACATAAGGTATTTTGGTGTTTCACATTAATTGACATTTTACTTCACCTATAAATTTTAGACCTACATATAATTCTAATGAAAACTTAATCTTTGAATCATGCGACTTGCCATCTATACTAGTGGAGCTTGAAGCTGGAATTGCACAGTAAAATAAATAGTTATTGGTGGTCACATCCTCATTCGCCCCTTAGCGTCGAGATGATTAAATGATGACTCGTTCACTGCAAGGTGTTGGCAACGGACACATTCCTACAAAATTTATACAGACATATGAAAGTAGTACGAAAATAAGAGTCGGGTCATAAACCAAATTCGACAAACTATTTACAAAAAAATTAAGCACACATTCTGCAAATTTTGAATGATTAATTCAGTTATGACGATGACGCGATAACTCATACCACATTTACTTTCTATATTAATCCAGCCAGAATTTTGAGATTCCGGTATCTTTAACACCGTGATCTGGATAGAGCCAAGGAGGAGCGGTAGGTTTAACGTCTTTCCCTCCACTTAACTCCAGGAACGCCGTGCTAGTGACGAGGTCAAAATCGGCCCAAGAAGGGGCTGAAGGTGTGGGATACTTGGGTGGATTATATTTGTCCTGGCTGGCCAGGACAGTCCAGGATGGACGAAAGTCTTGTCCAGACTAAATTTCCATTCCGAATATGTCCATCGAATCGAGTTATGGTGATCCTCCTCTAAATCTATCAAAGTTACAGCATTGTCCCCTAAGATTGACACTTGGTCTGGCTTGACTTGGTGTCTACTCAATAATGAGAAACCAAGTCTTGAATCCATTGCGTCTCAAAAAATGAAATTTCACCAAAATAATTAACCCCGCCTGGTAAGAAAGTAAGAATGTTCTAGAGAATGTGAAAGTGAACTGGTTGTCTTTACCTGTCTAAGTAACTCGTGATTGCGAGCTAACCCTCGAGTTGATTCATCCAATCTAATACTGGTGCGACAGACTGCAAATGCACAAATGCATGACATGCATGAAAATAAGTAGGGTACCACATAGCTGGAAAAGTAAATATTTCACGGATGCAACTACACTCTACGCTGCAAAAACGCTAAATAAGACACGTGAATTTGGAAACACTGCCAAGTCTTAAATCCACGTCGGGTTGGCGTTGTTATGCAAAACATCTTTTGTTCCTTACTTGACGGCATAATTACACATCTAAATTCTCTCACAATACATGAGCCTGGGTGTGATGGGGTAAAAGAAAAACAGTGAGAACAAATACTTAAGTTAAGGTACATAAGCGACGCATGTGGCTATGTATTTAGCAAAAAATTGAAACACTACGTAGTAAAAGCGTACTAAAAAATTTGGAAATTTATTTTCACAAATTTTTGTTTTATCAATTTCCGCCCAAAATCACTTGAACTACGCAACTGTATAATTATATATTTCCTACGAATTCATAAAATCGGACAGAATCGCACATGAATTAAGTAAATTTGCACATTATTCATCTAAGAATATATTTTTTAACCAAAGTAGCAGAATACGGAATGATTGATCATATTTTCTATAACTTCTTCATTTAACATTTTCCAGGTCTAAAAAATATTTAAAATTAAATTAAAATTGAGAAATATTATGGGTAAATTATTTAAATTTGACGTGCATACCCCCATCCTCTTAGAAACTTCTTGGCTCCCTCGACTCCTCAATCTTGGGTGCAGCCTTTGCTCCAACGTGTTGAAAAGTCTGGCACCTACCCCACTTAAGACACCAGCTAAGGGATTCCACCCCCTGACTGGACGGAAGGGAGGGGTCAGTTCGACATAAAGTTTTTTCAGGGCCAGTCCATAATCAAAATCCTTCAGATATCTCGTTCCATTCTCATGTGTGCCAAATTCTACCAGGATTGAGGTATCCACGCCTTCCGGTTTAAAGAGGAATTTCCCCTTTCCAAAAATTGGGAAGTAGACGGGGCCGATTTTAAGTCGGCCAGTTCCTGACGGCCAAAAAAATTCTTATCATAATTATTTGGCAATATTTTGACAATTTACTTACCTGAAATTGATATTGATTCTAAAGCGATTGAAATGTTGACAAACATTTTTTGCAGGTCGGCGTTAATTCCGGTGACGTTAAATTTTGATAAACCTTTAATGTAGACATCCCTAGAAAGTTAGAAAATCAGGGAGGTTCAACACAAATTCGTAAAAAATTGCTCAAAAGTTTGCAGAAAAATTTACTTCCATATTTTAAAAATTTCTACACCAAGTTGTCAACTAGTATGTTTCGAAATTTTTTTTTAATTTACAAACATTTAGCACCTCGAAAATTTTGGTAATCATGAATGCCAGGAAAATTAACAAATCTAAGTTTATGTACAGTTAACAGATAAAGTATCCGACCACATTACAAATTACTAGTCAAATATGCTTTAAAATAAAGATCCAAATTTTTGCATAGTGACAGTAAATAAAGTTTGCGGTCGAATCCTGAAAGTATTTTGCAAAAATAATGGAGAGGTCAAAGGTCAGATTTTGTTTAAAAAACCTAACTTTTCAGCTACATTAACAAAATTTTTTCCTTGGTGGTTTTAGTTGTTTATCAATAGTGCAAGTCATCCTGAACATTTTGACCTTTTGTCCATCTTTGTACGATTTTTTTGAGCTGAGCTATGATTTTTTGAAAATTGTCATTTGAAAAACTTATAAAATTAGGCTTATGGGCGAAAACTAAAAATATTCACAAAATGACAATTTTTGACAAGCATTTTTGACATAGGGTAATTTGTGATGCGGTCGGATACTTTATCTGTTAACTGTATATATGTATGATTAAAGTTTTAATAACCCACGTAATGGTTCCTTGAATCGGAGAATTTCCGTCGCCTTCCCCACCGCCATCGACATCTCTCCGCATTTTCTCGGGATCCATGACAATTTCCGGGATGTAAATGGGATCCAAGGGCATCAGTCCGGTGCTATTGTCCCCCTTTGCCATTTTGTCCTGTGCGTCCAAAATTAGTTTGAGAATAACTGAGGTGATCACGTCATGGTCACATAGTCCGGCTCGGTTCCACCGCTTCTCTTTTATTGGAGCTGATTTCTTAACGGTAGAATTATTCTTGTCTAAGTCTTGTTCCTCGGAGGAGGAGGAGAAGGAAAACCAGTCGTCGTCTTCCGTTTCCTCAGAGTTTGCGAGAATTTGCGAAAAACAGGAAAATATGATGGAAAAAATTAATAAATTTTTGGATCTCATTTTACATTTAATCCAGTAACTTATTTAATTAAGATATACTTCCATCAGTGGTTGAGTAGCAAGTGGATGAATCCTAACTGACGATTTTGTCTGAACCTCTCCATCATATTTACGATTAACCTTGATCCTACCCAGGGTTCTGATGTAGCAAGAAACTCAATTTTGCAAGTATACTGCTAAAAATATTGATAAAAACGGTGTAAATTTAACACCGTTTGGTTAGCATATATGACTCCACCGCCGTGGTGTCGATTTGTAACCAATTTGGTGACAACTATTGTCACTAATGGTGTTGAATTGTCTGGTGATAAACCAACACCAGACGGTGGCAAATTACCACAGGATGTGGACAAATTAACATCGGGAAAGTTTACATCCGCGTGACTTCGCCAGATTTTTTTGCAAGTAGCTTCTCCGAAGTGTCCTACACGTATTTATAAGAATATTCGCCATAGTTATGAGATAAAATTTATTCACGTAACAAAAACACCAGATTGAAACCCTGCTTGAATTCAATTCAAAAACTGTTTGCGTCAATTGCTGAGGTCAGAGTTGCGAAAAACATTAATGAATGAGTGATCATTTCAAGTTTACACAATGGATATATGTACAGATACACATAAATAGATGTGTATTTGGCTAGCCCACGTCCTGAGATAATGAATAGAATTAAATTGGGCTTTATAAGTATACGGTCGGAAGGGAAGCGATTTATACAGATTATGCGACACCGACACGCTACTTATAGCACATAAATATGTGCACTGATATGCATGCATTTAAGTATATTCCTATGGCATCGTTCATAAATTATGTAACGCAAAAATCGCGATTTTCAAGACTCCCCAGCCCCCCTTTAGCATGTATCACATAGGCACGATATCATTGGGAACCAGACCCCCCCCCACTCCCCTCTCTTGCGTTACATAATTTATGAACGTCGCCTATCTGGTGACATATAATTGCAAAAGTATGTATCGAGAATTCATAAACAGTCCAAGAGCTTAAATCTTAATGAATAGGAATGTTTAAATGAATCCAAATTGTCCATTCCTCTCAATAAATCAGGATTACATACATACATACACATTTACACCAATTAACTGTGCAGATAAGAGAATCTATTAATTACGGAAGGCTATAATTGACAAATCTCCAACATCCAGCCACACCACACCCTCACCCAAATTTATCATCCGTAACAAATGAATTGCCCTAATATAAATATTTACGGTTTTGGAATGTTTATGTTATGTTTACATTCTGCGTATTATATTTATTTATCTTACCGAGATATAAAAATTGTTTTTACTTCATAAACCAATAATAATCTCTAATTATGCATGATCCTATCATAAATAGGATTCCTAAAAGAAATCCAATTATGAATACGCATATGATACCAATTTCACGAATTGCATGCATTACTTAATTGCCACAGAAATATGTAATTACTTCCATAAAATATTCCATAAATTTTAGTTCAGGTACTACTTGAACCTTGTTACCGTGAGAACTCCTTATCATAAATACATACCTGGTTTGATTTGTTACATGCATTTTAATTGCTTCATGCCTCGATCACGCCATGCACTCACGAGGATCGGGGTTCACTCAGCAGACAGCAGAAGATAAGATACGTCACACTTATCAACTGGGTCAGTCCATCCGTGCATCTGATCCAGTCAAAGTACAAGTTAGTTCTCCGTCTGTTGCCAAAATTTGGCATAAAATTTTTGCCCAAAATTTTTCATCAAATTTTGCACAAATTTTTGCACAATGTCGCAAATTGGAAACTGTGCTCCTCACCGGCTGGTTGAAAATTCTACCTTCCTCCTTAACTACACCGCCCTTCCGTCCGTAGATTCGTCGCTCTATCCTTTTTCCACCTTCACCTGGAAAGGATGGATGAGTTGGATCGCGGAAAATTGGCACTACTCGATAATCGCGAGTGTGCTCTATATCGTGGGAATTTTCTCGCTAAAATTTTGGATGAAAAGCAGGCCAGCGTATGATCTTAAGGGACCACTGTTTTATTGGAATGCAGCCCTTGGACTGTTTTCTATTGCGGGATTTATTGGTCTATTTCCGGACTGGTATGCCTCGTTGCGAGGGGGAGGAGTACATGGGTCGATGTGTCATATGTGAGTGAATTTTTATATTTTGGTGGATTTGAGGATGTGAAATTGTGTCGTGAAAAGTTTTCGCTGAAAATTTGGATGTGGAAATTTAGATTAAAATTATTTCTTAAAAATTGAAAATATCTTACAATTTTTTAGGAGCCAAGTTTACTCTGTGATGACATTTTGGAGAGTTGCGTTCGCACTTTCTAAATATGTAGAGCTTGGTAATTTAATTAATTTAATTGACATTTACATAATTCAAACTACATTGACTAAAATTTGTGATTATCTCGGAACTCGTGTTTTTGCAGTGGTGAGATTTATTTATAATTGGAAATATATGACGAGTTTATTTTGTAAAAAAAAATAATTTTACACAGGTATCATCACGCCGTCACCTTAATCATGGTTTGGATCCTGACCCCAATGTTGGAACCTGTCAGTAGATATTATTGTTTTATGAACTATGGTGTTCACAGGTACGTAAAATTTTATTATTCGGAATTTAAATTAAAAATGTGCACAGTTTTGGTAACTAAAATGTTTCAACAAACGTCAATTTTTAAAGTAAATAAGAATAACCTACCGTGTGCAGTGTTGATATAGCCCGAGTCAGGTTTGTTATTCTATCGATAAATCCGACTATTTTGCATCAAATGTTAGGCGAAATTCAGTAACTGAATGTTACCCGTTTGAGCCTCTATATGAAAGTATTTTGGCATGCGACTTGCATATTATCGCTCAGGAAGTCATTTCTACCTGCCATATCAAATTGCAGCTCAATACGACAATTTCGTAAAATCAGTGGTGGTCACCCTCTACAGTCTCTCATGCTGAAAATTTTTCTAATTTGACTTCGCCTTAGTTGCACAATAGTCATTAGCAACTCTCACAATTAATTTCAGCTCGATTGAAAGAGTTTAGAAAATCAGTATGGCTCACCCTATAGGGTCCCTCAGGTTCAAAAACTTTATGTTTTAACTTCACAGGCTTTCATCACAAGCCATAAGGGACCTGCATGCCAAATTTCATCCTTCTAAGTCAATTTCTGAAAATCGGTATGGGTCACCCCCTAGGGTCCTTCAGGTTGAAATTTTTTCCACTTTGACTTCAAAGCCATTCATTAGAAGCTATTAGGAAGCTCTGTGCCAAATTTCAACTTTCTGCGACTATTTTGAAATTTTGGTGCATAATACCCCCACTACCTATATGACCCCCACCGGTCAACCACTGAACCGATTTGGCTCATCTTCGAACTTGACTCGTACTTTCATCCCATAAACATATGGTGAAAGTTTCAACCCGATCGGATAAGTTTAAAGAGAGTTATCGATAGACAGACAGACGGACAGACGGACGGACAGACAGACGGACATGACGGTTACATAAGCCCTGACTCGGGCTAAAAAGTATTGTTTCAATACTTTTTCTGGCTGTAAATTTTGTCCCTTTTCTTTTTTAGTTCGTAATTTACTGTTAATGAATGTTGGCTTGAATTATTTATACTACTTACTTAAATCTTAATTAGGGTGTTTTTCGCAAATTTTGTAAAGTTTTAATCCTATGGCTTTAGAGCAACCTTAAACTTCTTAAAATATTTGACCAATATTATGCCAAAATACCAAGAAAATATTCTACTTCACGTACCCAAACCAAGACAGGCTTGAGTTCTTTTCCCCAATTATCTCACCATTGTAATATTGTAGTAAATAAATTATGTAATTATTCTTATTTTTAGCCTGATGTACCCCTACTTCGCCTTGAAAGCTGTCGATTACTACATACCCCGATGGATATCGTCGGCTATCAGCTCTCTGCAATTTTTGCAAATGGTTGTCGGCATCTCTGCCAATATTTACACGGCCCACATTGCGAGTACGTATTTCGCCGCAGATAAATAAGTAACAAAATATCCCGTGTATTTGGGCTAATGACAACTTTATTTATTTAATTTCAGAGACGAGCGGAGAATGCTGCAGATACGAGACGAGCATCCTAATCAGCCAAGTGGTGTATGGAAGTTTTGTCATTCTTTTTGGCAAGTTACTAATCGACGTGGTCAATCGGGGGAAGGGAGGAGAGAAGAAAAAGTTATAATTCTATAATGCAATCTTGATAAAATAAATACAAAAACTACATGCCGCATTTATTTTAAGTTCCTTATCAAGTCATTATTGTCATGATATTAGGCAGTTTGTGTAGCTACGTTTTTAGGATTTTCGTAACGCTCCGTATCTCTTGAGAGTGGTCGATATTTTCAAAGTGCACCTGAAAAATGTGAAGACTACGCCCCACCACAATTTACAAATTTGCTCCGGAAATTTTGACCACTTTCAGGAGATACGGAGAGTTACGGAAATCCTAAAACTGTAGCTACACAAACTGCCTATTAATCCAAATTGAAATAGATTTGTTTAAGCAAGGATTACATGTCATTTTTATTTTTACGGCTAAAATTACAATGTTTTGACATTTATCGTTTTCACCACATATTTGCAGTATTTCAAATTCAACCACCCTAAGGTTTCAAAAAATACTTTACGTTAATTATTTTCATCTCATGTAGGTGCTGAAAGTCTGAAATATAATAGGAAATAAAGTCGTTGAAATAAATAAATCGGATCGGTTTTTAAATTTCATAACTCATCCCAAATTTCCTCACAAAGTAAACAATTATATGAATTGTGCAATTCATTCTGCTTCATTAATAAATTCACAACGCATCAAAACCTACAAGAACCATCCCCCCATTTCCGGTCATTGTAACAGGTAAATTATTTACAGCAATATTTAAATTTTCCACACGTTTGAAATATTCTAGAGCCCTATTGAACTCTTTAACCAGGTGTTGACATTCCACAAAACAATTGTCACCTCCATTTACCCATCCCATAGTTATGCATATATTTACTTATAAATCAACATCACCCCCAATATTAAATAATAAAATGCAATTCATGCAAATAACATACTTCTAAAGCCACATATTAAGAAGTAGTCAAATATTAACTTCCTGCATAATTTAGTATTCCTCTCCAAACTACCATTTTGCGTTCACCTCAATTTATACCTTAAATAAATTAACACTTCAACTTCTTTCATTGCTTGGCGTGGTATAAAAAGAATTTATTTCCATTAAAATATCTAAAAATTCCGATATCAACCCCCACCGCACACCCCAGGTGATTACCTTCCCTTAAAATGTTATCCTCTATCCTACTGCCGCACATGAGACGTAACCTACACGTTGGAAAGCTGTATCGCTGCATTTACTACGCCTGGGATTCACGACGGCAGCTCGTCGTCCCGTGTTCTCCAGGGACCAGAAGGTGCACGAGAATTTATCTCTTGATCAGCGTCAGTTATGTCATGGCACAAATCGCTGCCCTTGTTTCCTAAACGGCACCCATGTCTGAGAAGATATTTCCGGCAACGTTTGCCTGGATTTACGGTGCACCCACGATCGCTGGAACCGAGTGGAGGGCAGATATTACGGGAATTCAGCTAATGAACGAGATCTACCAGGAGAAGGAATGTCTGGAATTGGGTGAGGAAGCTATTATGTACACTGTAAGAAATATTACACTCTAAATAATTTGGTAACGATTGTCACCGCCCGGAGTCACTATGATGCTCTACCATCGTTGGTGACATTTGTCACAGAATCAAGACAATTCAAATACGTTACCATCCGGTTTAGAATTTGTTACCAGATAAAATTAATTTTGAACTCGTCACCAACGATGGTAGGGCATCATAGTGACTCCGGGCGGTGACGATCATTACCAAATTATTTAGAGTGTATTACCGGGCTATAACTATATATGACTCTACCGGTTGGTGGTATGTCAGTACGCAGTGACGGCTTATACCAATTTGGTGGTGGTTATAATGTAACCAGAATTGTGACGAGGCCTATCACTACGGGCGGTAAAGTCATACGGTGGTAAACATGATAATGATTATCACCCAGTTTCTTAAAGTGTACCTAGACTTTCATGGTAATAAAATTGTTACCGCCCGCATTTGAATGTAAGGTCAAGCTAAACCGTGATAATAATTGTATTACCATAATTAATTAACAATTCCAGCCTCTGGAATCTGGCACAAGAAAAGCTTCCACAAACTGATCAACTTAACGTATTCGCTCCTCGACGTTACTTTCCATCTCATTTTCCCCCTGGCAATAATTGTCCTGCTGATCCTACTCCCGTGTCAGGCCTACCTTCTGGGATCATCCATCCTTCCCGTCACCCAGTGTTCGAAATCACTCTTCTACTCTGGCTCGTTCTTTTTCGCAATAATAAGAATAATCCTAATTTCATTCGAATTCGTGCAAATGGTACGACACATGGTGAACGGTGTCCACTACGCAATCTACATCCTAATCTCTGGTATTCTCCACCTGTGGGAAGAATCATCGAAAATTCTGAGTTCGCCAACTTTTTCGAAGAAATATCGCAACCTTCAGATTTTGGAGGGTGTCCTAAACCGGGCAGTTCGTGGAAAAATACTTCCCCTCGTGTTGGTGGCATGTCCTGGCATACAAATTTTGTCAGCTGTGGCGTTCATCAAATTTCAACATGTCATGCCGGGAACACACCTCGTCTTCTTGGGGCTGGCAGCTATAGACGGGTTAATCATGAATATTCTCTTTTGCACGGCAGCTGGCGTCATATTTCGCACGAGTGGGGCATACTTGAGGGATATGAAGGGTGTGGTGAAGGATAAGGTGGGGATGAGGTTGCTGAAGTCATTCGCCCCATTGAAGGTGAGGTTTGGAAGTAACTTCATGGACGAGCTGACACCACTGGTAATTCAGCAGTTTTGCTCGATACAGACGATGAATATGCTCCTTTTGTTGTAGAAACATGTAGTCTCACATGATACTTATATTTCTGTAGTGAATTTTCATTGGTAATGGTTAACATTGCAAAATTGATATCACTTGAAGTGGGAAGTATAAATAAACCTTGTTCCTAAAACTCGTGTAAGAAGGAAGTATACTGCGGGACCAAATTTCTGATTTATGTAAACCTGGTTAAATCTTAATGTGAACCATTTTTGAAAATAGCAAAATTATGTAATAAAAGACTTTACTTAATTACTTATTTATGAGACTATGAGTTTTAGAGGGTTCATTTTTCTAAACTTTTCTAAAGAATTTATTTCTTTCCATGTATACATATTTAGTGACAACGGCTTCAGTTTTGCTTATAATTAAATAACTGTATGGGTTTGGGAATTGTCCACATGAAATGGTGAAACTCGAATCATAACACTATTATGATAACAGTCCGGCTGAACTTATGTAGGTCAACCTTGTAAATATTTATTAATTATAGGATTTAAATTAGGCTTTGGTAATTGCTGTTTGTTTTTAATTAGTAATTAGTATTAGTTATATTAGTTTTTATCTGTTTGCAATTCGAACTATACACATACATAAACATTTATTTTGTTTAAATACAGTAACCATATTATTTTATTTTCATGCTGTGTGCGATTTATTGGACACAAATTGATTGCGCTGGCTAAGCGTTATTCATAAGCACCAAACTAATCGCTTGTTCCACAGTTTCTCGATTAAATTACAATGAAGTCGACGCCTCCATGAAATTTCTTCCCCCTCCGAATTTTATCTTTGTCGATTGCAAAGAAATCAGCATTCGTCGCAGTACTTTGTTCTTCCCGATTTCGTCCACATTTTTAAAAAACTTTAGCAAAGCTGCACTCTCGTCGTATAACTTACCATAACTTGTGTACATTCCGCCATGGACCATTAGGGTGAGTTCCAACACAAGTGTGACTGAGAAAAGTGTCAAGGGCAAGGGCATGAGGTCATGAAGGGCAATACAGCTGTACAAACTGAAGATGGCGAGGGAACACAACGGTACCATGAGATTAGCCAGGATGCCTGTAAGTAGGGCGTTATGTTGGGCAGATAGTAGGAATGTTGTCTTGTACAGCAAAAGTTGTTCCTGGCATAATTGAACAGATTTAGTTCCAATGTGGGAAAGAGACTCTTTGCACCTGTTGTGAAACGATAGGTTTATTTATTAGACATTTCTGGGAAGATGGTAAATCTAGTTACAAGTTAACCTGTGATCAGTGTTTCTTTTAGGATGTCTAAAACGGTTTGGGGGTGGTTAAAACCACTTTTGTCCAGTGGAAGAAACGGTTTCATCCACCTTTGTCTGGACAAAATGATGATTTAGTGGTCAAAGGTGGCCTTTTGACCGCTGTCCTGGACAATTTGTTTTCAACCAGTGTAAACACTGCCTGTAACGGTCATCCTCGCGGTCACAAACTTCACTATTCCCAGACTGCAATCCCATACCCGCTTTATTTTTCGCTTCAAAAATCACCCAAAGTTATTTCGGCTTACAGGTCACAATATTGACGGATCGAGGTCAAATTTGGACCACACTTCCTCAAGGATTTCCCAGAGGGAGTTTTTAGGATTTTAAACTACATAGGTCACTTGGGTAAAAAAAAATAATTTCCTCCAACTTACGGATTTTCGGTATTCTATCAGTCGATGATTTTTTTCATGTGACCCAAGTGACCTGGATTAAAATCCTGAAAACACTTTCATCGTGCAATAGTGGTGTTTTGCGGCGTTTTGCGGCGTTACCCAGAGGACGATCGTTTCAAGTTAACTTGATACCATTGTAGGATAATTAACTACAATCGCAATTTGAACGCGATTATACATATTAACTAAATTATTACTTCGTTTATTGATGTAATACTTTTAATCGATTCTAAATTGCCGAGAGTGGGTGCAATAATGTTTACTTGGCTTACCTCGACTGATACTCTCTCAGGCACATTGCACCCACGAAAATAGTGAAGACACCGTTGCAGGGCGTCAGAGCGAACCCTAATCCGACAGCCCAAATGTCCAAAATATGCCAAACGATGTGCAGGATGGTATTACTTGGTATATCAAATCCAAACATTCCCTTAGTCCCGTTGTGACACTGCTTTAGAAAGGAGACAAGCAATGGTCGGGTACAGGGTGCTCGATAAATGTGGAGGGACAGTAGGATAGGATTCAGCACCGGGACGCCAATCGCGCCGAATATTATGATTTTTTGAAAATTTCCGTGAAACATAGCATTGAATTCCTTAATCCAGTATGCCATTGCCATTTCGAGTTTGCCAAAATTTTGCAATGCCAATTGTTCTGCATAGTTTTCTATGGATACATTAAAAAATTATTAGTAACAGGAACACCACTAAAGTATAATTCAGTCTTTCTTTTTTACGTCCAAAACGGGTTGGGGCTGATTAAAACCACTTTTGTCCGGGTGGAAAAACCGGTTTTATCCACGTTTGGACAAAATTATGGCCTTCTTTTGACCGCTTTTGATCGCCGTCCTGGACAATCCGGTTTTTTCTACTCGAAATACTGGTATAATTTAAATAT